GACTTGCTTCCTTAGCAAAATTGTATCTACAATTTGGGTAATATTTATTTGGCTAAGTTTCCAATAGGCACAAATAACTAAGAAGGAAGTGTATGTATTGTCAAGCACATTTTAATCAGCTCTTCTCATATTGTAGCACAAAGACCATTAACATAATAGAATATCAAACTTTGCATATATTAATAATGATGACCTGACTGGATTTTCAGCCTGTATCTCAAATAATCTTTCTTATTTAGTTTAAGATAGAAAAATAGGGTAGTTCAACATTAGAACTAAGTGATCTAGGGTTGACAAGATACAACTGGTCCAAAGTGTGAGTGGAACATTTCAGGGTTGTATTATAAAAGCTACTTCAAACAGTTAATTTTAAAATGTACTTTACAGCTATTAAATTAAAGCACCATAAAATGTGACAATCATTATATCTCACAAAATGGCACTGTAAATTCTTTGTACATCAAATCTGAGTTACAGTCGTATGCTACATAGAACATTTCAATTGATTCTAAATCTTTTGGCTAAGATTCAACCAACAGTGGATGGCATATATCACAGTGATCCCATGAGATTATATTCCCTGCTTATAGCCATCTTCGTTTGTGTACATACACTCCATGGTATTTACATAATTACAAAATCACATGATGACATTTTTTTGTAATGCATGCTTGTCATTGAGCAACACATGGCCATATATATATATTTTTTCATTGTATTCTCCTTGTTTGGTTGATTTTTATTTTGTTCTGTGTTTTGTGTACGTGTTTTGGGGGTGTGTGCACGTGCAAGTATGCACTGTGCACTGGGCATTATCTCAGGGCCTTGCACCTGCTAGGTGTGACTGCTGAGCTACACTCCCAGTTCCCATATTCGTTCTTGATACTGGCTTGTTCTACCTTTCTGACCAAATACAAAGCCAGTATCCATTTCCCAGGTCACAAAAGCATTGATAGGAATATTCCTGTACCTTTATAGACCCAGTACAAAAGAAAATAAGCTAACTTGTTCCTGAAACCATGCTTGCCAGAGCTACCTGCCAAACATCCCTTAGTCCCCTTTCACTAAATTAATAAACATTTTAAGCACTTATTTTATGCAAGACGTAGTGTAATTACTGATAGTAGAATTATTTAAATATATGGTCTCTGCCTGTTTGGGGCTCAAACTATTAGAACCTACGCCTATACTCAACTGCAGAAAGATCAGTAGGTGTACCATTGTGATACTGGTTCAATAATGTTGTGTAACAAATTAGTCTAAAATTATAGCAACTTAAAATAATCCTTTGTTCTCACCTATACCTCTCAGGTTGGCTAGAGGTTGACTGATCTCTGCTGTGTGTGGTTAGACTTGGCTTCAAGCTGAAGATTGGCACCAGATTGGCCTCATTTCTATCATCTGCCTTGGACCAAGGGGCATGCTTTCTTACCGTATTGACAAATGCAAAAAAAAAAAGAGAAGCCTAATTACACAAGCACATTTTGAACTCTTCCTTGCATGATATCTATGAATATTCCATTGGTCAAAGCAAGTCAAGTGTCCAAACCCAGTGTCAAAGACAAGGAAGTATACTCTGACTCTAATGGCAGTAGTTGCAAAGTTTGATGCAGGCCTAGTGGGGAGAACTTCAGAGACAGACGACAAAGACCATGGCTGTGGGGAAAGGGGAGGAATTCTGGACAGTACTTGAGTGTGCCACAGACACATTTTGGAGAGCAGCAGGTAGAGTACTCACTAGTTCCCTGTCACCTTTACTGTTGGACCATCAGGACCAGGTAAAAAGTCTGGGTCACCAGAGGTGGGCTCACCTTACCTTGGCAAGGAAAGACTGAGCTAATTGTGCCTTGCATGTTGAGGGTATGGATTAAGAGCCCTCATTGCAACAATCAAACAACTGTTTAATTGAATTATTTTGGCAGTAAAGGTAAGAGACTTCCCAGCTTTTTCGTGATGAAGAACCAGCTACTTCTATAGTGTATAAGTTGAGGGTGAGCTGCTAATAGCTTATGAGGTTTGTTGGCACTGGAGAGGCACAGAAGAACAAAGAAGCCATTACCCTCCCCTGTTGTCAGTACCACCCCCAAATACTTGCCGTACCTCCACTATCATACATCAGAAAGAGTGCGTTACAACCCTTTCTAGATTTTGTGCAGCCCTGTGCCTTGGGAGCAGAGGAGGTTTTCGGTGGAGGTTTCTGCTTAGTCACTTAGCAGTCTTAACCAACTAACCTGTCTCAGTGGACATACTCATAGAATCTCTGGGACTATGACCACCTTAAGAACAGCTGTGGAATACGTACAGATTTGAATCTTTTAAGAAAACTAGACGATTGTAATACAGAGTTTACATATAATGACTTTTATAACTAATTAGTAAAATTCAGGGAATATCTGTGTTCAGAATATCCAGGAAGGGAATGGAGGCTATACTTTACTGTGCTAATATGTAAAAGGCTAAAAATTACCTGAATGTTTTGGTAAGGAATTGGGGATCATCCAAGCATCTTTTGAAGCAAGAAACTCATGAATTTCTCTTAAAAGAATAGAATTTCAAAATATATATATACTTTCTTCATTGTTTTTTATTGCTATATTTTGATTTCTTTGTTTCCCTTTAAAATAAAAGACATTATTTAAGAAAATCATGTTGCACACTTCCTGTATATCATGAGTATTTAGTAAGTGTTTATTCCTTTTTTTATCATTTTTGGTTTTGTCTTGGTTTTTTGTTGTTATTTTGGGTTTTGTTGTTGCTGTTGCTGTTTTAAGACAGGGGCTTGTTGTGCAGTTCAGGCTGGGCTTGAACTCACTATGTAGCCCAGGCTGGCCTCAAACGCATGGCAGTCCTCCTGCCTCAGCCTCCCAAGTGCTGGGATTACAGACGTGTAACACCATGCACAGCTCCCTGATTTCTTTTTACTTTATTAATAAACTTTTTAAAAGTTGTCGCACACCTGTAATCCCAGAACTTGGAGGACTAAGGCAGGAGGATCGTTGCAAGTTCGAGACCAACCTAGGCTACAAAGTGAGCTTGAGGCCAGCCTGAATTGCATAGGGAGACCCTGTCTCTTTAAAGACAAAAAAAATTTTTTTGTAAAGAAAAGTTGTCTATTCTTTTTGGTATGAACATAAGAAACATTTTTATCAAGGGAAAACAGTAGGAGGTAGAAAAATACAATAAACCATATTACTAATAACAGAGCTTTGCAAAGATAAAATGTGATATCTCAGGTCGTATATTCCTGATCTCATGTCTCAGATCACCTGTTGAAGCATAGACTATCCAACCACCTTGAAAGAGAACAGAGTTGACTTTTAGATAGGCATTGAGTACAGCAACCTTTAAGAAACAATCTGTTCCTATAATTCTAACAGGAATATTCTCTTGGATGTTATATGCTACATATTTTTTTTTTTTTTTTTGGTACCGGCAATCGAACTCAGGACCTTGTGCTTGCCAGGCAGGTGCTGTGCCACTGAGCTATCTTCCAGGCCCCATATGCTACATACTTTTGTAAAATGTTTTCTGTGTCATCTTCTTTCTTATAGACCAGTGATGGTGAACCTTTTAGAGCTTTCAATGATACAAACAACCCTCCGTGGAACACATGCCATAAGTTTGCCACTACTGCTATAGACTAATTAAAAACCACAGTAAAGGTATTTTTATGATATAGTGCAGGGCTTAGTGGCACATGCGTGTAATGCTAGCACTGTGAGAGGCTGAAGCAAGAGGATTGAAAGTTGAAGCTCAGCCTGGGCAGCTTAGCAAAACTTTATCTCAAGTTTTAAAAAGGAGGGGTTAGGGGAATGAGGGTGTAGCTCAGTGCAGAGGCCCTGGGTTCAATCACCAGGGCCACCACCAAAAATAAAATGTTATATTTGAACCAAAATTGTTGTATTTGAACCAGACATAACTGTAATCTCAGCCATTGATAGACTGAGGCAGAAGGATCACCTAAAGTTTGAGACAGCTTAGGCTACATAGTGAGTTCAAGGCCAGCCTAAACTATATAGTAAGGCCCTGTCTCCACAAAAAGTTACATTTATTGGGTAAATAAATGAACACATCAGTGAAAGTGTATCATTACCCAAGGTCAGTCACTGTAAACAACGTATTTATTAGGTTAGGGATATAACTTTACTTACATACTTATGCTGAGAGAATTTAGGTTGTTTCTTCTTGCTCCTTTATTTTTATAAAAAGAGCTCATCTGTTAAGTAGCTATTAGATAAGGTGGTATATGTTACTGGTGGATTTAAGGAAGATCACTATGTCATCTACAAATCTCAACACATAATATAATTTCTCACATACAAAAGTACTCTCCAGAGTTTGGTGGCAAAATAGTTCAGACACAAGAGCTATAGAAAGATAGTCTCCCTCTCACCTATTTAAATTGTCTCAATTGATAAGTTGGCAACTAATATTTTCAGATATCTAAAACAAATACTTTAATATTTCTTATAATTTGAAACGTTCATGTAAAATGAATTTTTCAGTTCACTGTTAATTTTCAAGAGAAACCCATTTACTGTTCTTTTAGGTAACAAAGAACTCTCATGTTTGTTGGTTTTACTGCGGCTTGCATGATTGAGGCATTAGAAGCGAATGGTGTGGGTCTAGCAATGTTTTGGGTTTTTTTCACTGTACATCTGAAATAAGTTTTACCATTAACTACTCTTTCATGAAAGGAGATTTTTATGTTTGTTTAGCTTTCTTGTTTCTGTTGGAAATAGGAAATACTGTATCCCTCTGTTTAATGTAATAGAATCTTTAAAAGCCAGATTTAAGATGTACTATCTTAAAGTAGCAAATGAAATGAAATCTTAAAATGTTTTTTAATTTGCTTAGTTTTTTAAAGTCACAAGTGTATTGTGTACTGTACATATATATTTTGTTTGGAATAAGCCCTGATTCTAAAGTTTAGATGAAACAGACTAGGTGAAAGAAGCTTTTAAAACTTATTCTAACTATAAACTATTCTGTCTCATCAGCCACCAGCTCTGCACACTTGGAAGATCTTGCTTACCTGGATGAGCAGAGACATACACCTTTGAGAACATCTCTTCGAATGCCAAGACAGAGTATGGGTGGTGCGCGCATGCAGCAGGATTTAAGAGGTTAGAAATACGGGTGGAGAGGGGGGACTTTGGGATGCAAGAGAACAGATGGAAATAGGCAACAGTCAAAAAGTTCTTTCTCCTTCTATTTTAAAACTTTTTTAAACCTGCTTTAAAATGTGAAATGACCTACTTTAGAATGAAACTAACTCCACAAATACATTTTACCCATTATAGAAATGCACTGTAGTCATCAATATTTACAAGTGTCGATTCCCTGCAATTCTGAAATCAAACAAATGTAAAGGGTAGGTGTTAGTAAAGAAAATAAACTTTTAAGATCCTGGATTTTTCAGAAGAGACTGATCAGTTTCATTTTTAGCCATATTGCTGGTGAATTTTATGCAAATAATCATGTATTTTTCTAGAGAATTTCATTTTCATTCTAGTTTATTCTAGGAGCGTGCCATACTTTTATTTTAAGAGTTTCATACAGTACTGCCAGTCCTGTCCTGGCAACATTTGAACAGCTTATCCTTTTTTTCCAGTTAGGCCTCTGTTTCTTTGACTTCTTTGAGGTATGCTACATGTTTCTGTAAGAAGGAACCTGATCATTTCAAAGACTGTCATTTTGTTATAATAGGGGTCTTGTTGAGGGGTCTGTTGTTGGTGTTTATGCCTCTTGTTTGCTCAGAATAAACCAAACTGTCTCTGGTGGCTTTAACATATAGCTAGCTTTCATCTGATAACTTGCAAACCGTGTTTCTTCTACAGCATCTGATTTTGTTTTTTTATCCTGGAGTTTTTTCATCTTGCCTTTGATTCCCTTTATCTTCTTTGTCCCATCTTCTATCCTCGGCAGTATAATAGACATGCTTAACTCCCATGGGAAGGAATTTATACATGCCTGCTGTCCATTCTGAAACACATTATACTGACAGGTTTTCAGTGTTGGTTAAGCAAATAGTAGCATAAAATAATTGATAGTATTGCTACAGTTGCCAAACTTAAATCAACCATCATTGATAGGCTGTCATAGTTTTAGTTCTTAATTGTTTTGTCCATCTTTCTTGCCATTTCTTCAGTTTTCTGTAAACCATTTGCTTCCTATGTGCAGGTGTATTTCCAGTATAGAAAATGGAATTATATCAAGCACTACCTTACAGTGATAATATCTAAAGCCTGAAGAAAGCTAATCAAAAGGCCAAATAATTTATTTGTGTTAAATCTACAGTGCCAAAAAATTAAATAAATAAATCCACAGTGCCCAGCCATAATAAGAAAATCAGACACTACTGTTGACTTACACAGACCTTCAGATTTGTTTGAAAATATACCACATTGGTATCACCGTATATTTTACCACTGAAAAACAAACTGACTTTTTAAAATTATTTTATGCTTTGCTAATTTTTGAATAATGGGTATTACAATATGCCAGAAAAAAACTGACAGATTTCAGCTGTGTTATTTTTGAGAATCCTTCACTTGAGTTCTACCTTTACTTGATAGCCCATAGCTGCTTCTCTTATCTAAAGATTTCATAAGATTTTGTAAGATACATTTTTATGGGCTTGATGTTCACACACAGATGTGTAACTAGAATACTTTCCATTGTACTGAGCTTCCCCCCTGAACACACAAAACAACAAAAATGCTTCCAAGAATTTTTCCAAAGCATGCCTGCTTCCTTAAGAAGCTCTCTGCCTACATAATGAATTTATAATGATACTAATTTCATTGCCCTTGCAAAAAGCATCTCAGCTTATTGTTTACCTTAAAATTTAAGCTGAAGTTTTTCCAGTGATAAAGATGATATAACTATAGTGTATCAGTCCCTTGAAGTTGTCTTTATTTTTCAAGAGCATTCTTCGTAGCTGTCTAAATAATTAGAACATACCATTCAGAGTGGTGCATTTATCCATAAGAGAAAAGGTGTTTACTTAGCAATACTTTGGCCTTCTAAAATTAGCATACTGTAATTCAGAACTTAGAGACCTTGGAGATGATCACTTCTCAAAATATAACCTGTTATCTAGATTACTGCTTACAAGGGAATTGTGTGGCTTATGATATGACATAAGGCACATTAAGGAGAAAAGAAAGCAAACTTGGATAGAAGTTTTCCTTAGGTTTCTAGGGACTTAGTTGGCAAGCCTTTGTAACTTTATTTCTATCCAAAACATTGTACCTTATTTTAAGAAAAAATCACATTATTTTCTTGGTATGATTTTTTTAGAAAATCATCCTAATTTCATTTAAAAGAACATACAAATTACAAGCATACTCCAGCTTTATTTTTATTCTGATTATGATTGAAATAGTTACCTTGTTCTCTCCAAAAGTAATAAAGTTACTAAAAAAAATGTATGCATATGTATTTCCATATTAGAACAGAGGTATATTTTTCTACATTTTAAGGTATTACTCAAAGATGTATCAAGTAATTTTTTTCATTTTTTCTTTGTGTGTATGTGTTATTATGGATTAAACCCAGGGTCTTCACACTAAGTTACATCCTTAACCATTTCTTTAATTTTTGTTTTGAGACAGAGTCTTAGTAAGTTGCTAAGTTGCTCAGGCAGTGCTCCTGACAATTGTCCTGCCTCAGCCTCCCATAGTGCTGGGATTGTAAGTATATGCCACCATACCCCACTTGAAATAATTTTTTTATTGACATTTTTGTATTAAATGATTCTGAGTCTTTAGACATAATAAACAGTGGCCATGTGTATATGGCATATCCGGGGGTACTAAGTTTATTGACTGATTCTAAGTACAGTCTGAAATAGTGTCTCCTGGGTGTATTTCTAAAGAACATTTGAGATGACAAGCATTTCGTGGGGGCTTTACACACACACACACACACACACACACACACACACACACACTCACGTACGTCTTGCATTATAGTACTTCTCCAACCTTTTAATCCTAGGATCCCTTTGTACTCTTAAAATGTTTTTAAAGATCCTAAAAAGCTTTTATTTATATGAGTTAATCTGGCATTTACCATATTAGACACTAAAACTAATATGTCAAATATTAGTTTTTGTTAAATATAACAGATTTTTAAAATAATGAAGATTATTAAAATAATCTTTTTATTAAACAACATTTATTACATTTAACATTGTGTAAGCTATGAAAATGTCCACTCTATAGTCAGCAGAGAATGAGAGTAGAAGAAGAAAAATAACCTTTCAGCATTGTAAAGAGTAGTTTTGACTTTGAGGACTCCCAGAAAATGTCTTCAGAACCCACAGGAGTCCCCATACCACACTTTACAAACCACTAATTTAGAAGTAATTGTTGTAATTGAAAATAAGATTTATGCTGTAAGGACCATGCAGTCTGTCTACAGGAATGCCAAAGAATATATTTTGAGAGATTATTATAAGTTTATGAATATGGTTTCAGAGTATAAGCAAGTTCATTTAACAAGTACCTCAGTAGTAACTGGTAGTTATCTTTTGACTGCTGGCCAGAACTTGTTGGGTTAATGTCTAAGCTAGAATTTGGATCTTCAAATGGAGTATTAACATTTGCTTCATTAGTTTAAAAAAAAACTTTTTTTTTTAACTTTTCAAGACAGCTGTTTTGAACAACTGTTCCACCAAAACTGATGTTTCCAGAGACCCAGCCCAACAATAGGGAGAAGGTCACCTAAGTGCACTCTACAGGATCCCCTTACAGCAAGTTACCAGCTGTGAACCATCCAAGAGCTTGAGCTCTAACACTACAGTAGTTATGATAGCTTGTATGTTAGTGCAGGGTATATAGCTAGTTAACATACCCTAAGAGCCTTTTCTAGTCCCAAAGCCTATCTTTGATCAATATTAGATTGAATTAATTTAGCTCTATTTAAGTTTTTAACTCAAAGTTTTAAAATTGGGGCTTCTATTTTTAATTTAACCACCTATTTTGTTAAAGTGGAGTTATGCTAGAAAGTATCTACCTGAAGCTTCTTATTGAACTCTCTCTTTCCATAAAAAAAAAATAGAAACTGTTGGTTACATATTGAAAAAAAATGAAGAGATAATTGGTTTTTGTGGACAAATTCAGTTAATCTAATGACAGAATACAAAAAAAGAACCAGTGAAAGATTTAAGTGCAGAAAGTAAATGTTAACATAGTTACTTGAAATAGTAGCTACCTGTGGTAAATTAACATCTTTTTAATGATAAGACCCTCACCCACCTTGGTGTTAAATTATAACCACACTGTTCTGTTGGAGATTATACTTATTAATTAAAACTTCATTTCTCCATATAAGTTGGTTTTGTTAGGACTTTCACTAAATACCATTACATAAAGGCTGTTCAGAGCCTTTGTGTTTAGTTAATTACTGCTTTAGTAGACACAAGGATGGAGGGCGTATGTGCAGATGATCGTCTGATTCATTGGCAGAATTTATGTGAAATTGGCTCTGCCATAGTTAACTTGGCTTTGTCAAAACAATGAGTTTAATTTTTATCAAATAAAATCAGTGCTTCACACCATTTCTAAGTCCCGTACTTTCCTGAAACAATGAATCCTTTATGGAGCTGACTAAGATGCATGTCATGAAGCTAAGTGCTCTTGTATTAGCCCACTGACTCACACATCCCTGAGGTTGGTTAGTCATCTTGATTATTGCCTGGCCAGCTTTCACATAGACAGGGAATATTTCCGTTACTCCCTTTTATTTCCTTATTGGTTGTTTTAGTTTGCAAGTAAGATTAAATTTTCTTCTTCTTAGGTAAATTCAAAATCCAGAAATAAGATTGCCTGTATAAAAATTAGACAGGAAGATTGTAAGCTTTAGTTCTGTGAAGTTGTTCTCTGCAACCCCAACCAGCTCTTCTGAAAAGTATATGAAAAGTTGAAAATGTGGTATTTTAACTAATACCCTTGAATGTCTGCTAGAAACTAATTTCTGGTTTTTTGTTATTTTTGTTTCTTTGTTTTTTGAGTAGCCTGAATGTGATTTTGTTAAACAGATCACTACTTGTTTTAGTGCATATATCTCCAAATATCCTTAGATCTGGTATTATATGAACCAGGCTTATTTGATAAAT